GCACCTGCCCGACAGACCTTTAACCAAACCTTCTAATGGTGTCAATTAATTGTGAGCTTCATAGGGGAATAGAACTTTTCATCATAAGTAACAACATTACAGTATCCACAGGTCAGGGCCATGTTGGGGAGAGTACATGGGGAGAAACGTGGGTAGTGGGGTTGGGAAATTGATCATTCTGTCTATGGAAATTGAATTCTGTTCAATCCTGCTGGAATCTGGATTTAGTAAAAAGCCCTTTTCTGGTATACAGGTTATTAAATATTTACCAAGAATTCACAGACATGGTAAGCCATCAATTCACAGACCTTGTGAAAAAGAAAGAAAACATCTAGAATGACTGCTACAATGGAAGCAAATCATTCTCGTTTTAATCTAACTTGTGAAAAAATTCAGCCACGCGGAACATTTTTAAAAGTCTAATCGATGACAGGAAGGTTGAATTATTTACTGGCTTCATGTAAATGGCACATTTTTAACAATTGGCATCAAAAATGCACACGGTTGTGAATCCATTGGTGTGCATAGATTAGATGTTATTTTAAGGTAAACATGCAAAACTTCTATCTGTCTTCTACTAACAGTGAAGGATATTGGAAGTCTTTCTGGTAACTTGAGGAAGTTGCATGATACTGGGGGGCTATTGGTATTGAAAACCATTAATTATCACCCAGCTACAATTCCTTTTAACATAAAAATTATTTCAGAAGTGTGAAAAAAAAAACCCTGGCAATATAATATGGGAGGAAAGACAGTCCAGTATAGGAACACCCAATAATATTCTGACATCACAATTTTGATACGTGATACAGAAGATCAACTCATTTGGAGAACTGTAAAGTTGAAAACCATGAAGCTTCTGACTGACTATATGATTGCTCTACACCAGTAATTTAGATATATATTTACATCATACATATACATATGACCTTGAGAATGATTGATTACTGTGGCAGCCAGCACTGGAAGAGTGATAACAAGACGTGTGTATATATCTACACTTTCAGTTTCTGACATTCTGACATTCTGCATTTCTTGGCATTTTCCACACATATCAATACAAACATTGCTCTCAAATGTCGCAATAAATCATTGATATTACGACTAAATTCTTGTTGGTTTTGACTTAAACCTTTAAAGTTTCACATGAGTAGCAAATACATGGTTTCAATGCCTAAACATTATTTATTCTTGAAGTAATTTAATAAAAAATATTTTAGTTAAAGACACGTGAAACTAACAGGAATGAGACTTCTGTTGATGCAGTTAAAATTCAACTCATTAATTAATTTAAATATTACACTGCCAAATAGATGTCTTTTTAATATCCTGTTTAAAACAACTAGGACTGTTTGCTTGAAATTACAAACTAAATAAATACAAATAAAAAAGAAAGAATGAAATAAAAAGTAGTTAATTTCTTGGAATTGTATTTAAGTTCCTTTTACATTTCAAATTAATTGTCTTTAATTTAGCATCTGTGGAGAGTGTAGCATAAACAGCTACATGTATATTCTTTAAATATCCATGTGGACAGCAAGCTCCGTAGACTATTTTGTCTCCAACAACTCTGAAACTTAATGTTAAAAATAAGTGGTGACATGGAAAATGACCATATATTTCAATTACAAGTAGGGCAATTTTGTCTGTAATTAAATTTCTGACTGCAGGTTCATCAATACTTGTTTGTCCAGTGTTAATCTCTTCTACAAACATATATCAAATACACACATATATGGCGGAAACCTGTAGAAAAAAATGGACATATAATTGCCCGCCGTCCATTTGTGTTCCTGATTAAATTTTGGTGTGGTGGAATCAATCCCGTAAGTCATGGAGTCTGTGATTAAGATGAACAACTGCAGCTTGGTGACATGAATCCAATCAAGCAGAGTAGTAAGTTGTGTTTCCAGTCAGGTTAAGTGAAATATCTTCTGTGTTACTCATCTCCAAATAGTTCATCACAGGTTCAAATCTTAGAGAGCGAGAGAGAGAGAGAGGAGGAGGGGGGGGGAGGGGGGAAGGTCTTGAAAAGTGGATCTTTTTACCATCTTAGATGACCCAACTTGAGAAATGGTATAGAACCTAGATCAAATTTTGATTCAAAGGGGATGCTTCTCTGGCCAATAGAGCTTTTATTTTGAATGCTCAAATCCCTTGTTCACTAGTATAACTCGATATAATCTAATACGTATCCTGTCCCACCCATCACTATGGAAATTGAGATTAAACTGGCTTGTCTTTGGTGGGCTAATCATTATTATTATTATTAGATGGCCTGCTCAGTTGGGCCACACTAAGTAAGGTTAATCCAACTGGAAACACGACAGAAGTGTACTTTAAGAATAGCAAGTTGTACAGCGTACATGTCAATGGTTCAATATCATGCTTCATTCAGACTGCACCACAAACAGAATAGAGAAGAGAGCATCATGGACTCTAGCTACCATTTAACCCATGTACATATTCTGTCAAATTCACTGAAAATGGTGAACCTCCAATCCCCCCCCCCCAAAAAAAAAAAAAAATTAATTAATGAATTAATTTAAATAAATAAATAAATAAATAAATAAATAAATAAATAAATAAATAAATAAATAAATGAAGATGAGCAGTGATTCAAAAACTTGCTTTGACTGAAACATTTACTATTAAGCCGTTTGGCTCAAACAACATTATAGTAGAGGATGCTGTCATGCAGTAGTGATTGTATGGGTTCATAATTAATGGGAAAAACATCTTTTCAAAACAGTTCCTCAAAATGAGTTGATCCACCTACAGTTTTGATTGTTGTGTCGGGGTGGTTTTAAAAACAAATTGATTATGTTATATCTTAAATGGTCGCCATATAATTCATTGATAGTTAATAGTGAGAACACTTTTTTGTTATACTATAGTGAATTTAATATTTAAATCATGAAAAAGTACTTTTCCCATCTTATCCATGAAAGAAAAAAGTGGAACTAGCAACCTGTGTCTAATAATCATCTTCAATCTGAAACCAATTATTACTGAATTATTCACATTTACGGGACAGGAAATGCCGACATTGTTCATAAAAACATGTCCCACCACCTGTGTGCAAGCTGTCATCATTTAATACAGCACAAACATACCTTTAATTACACGACTGATAACCCAGACACAATATGGTATAAAATTAACAGTCATGCTGTGTGTGATTCCGCATCTCCGAGTTAATATCTGGCTAAATATCAGGCTAACTATCCACAATTAATCAAAATCACGTCGATAAGTCTAAAATCTGATATTGGATGAATTTTATTTCTGAAACAATAGGATTAATGGAAATTTTATATTCACCACTGCTAATATCACCTCAATATGTCCAGAGCACCTTTTTTTAATGCCACAGTAAAAACTTTCAAAAATCCTAGAGCTGGCATTATTAAGTAAGCCTGTAATCCATCCAAATTTAACTACAACCAATTACTTGGCCCCAACTCAGCATAATCCTGCCCTTCCTCTGGATAATCCGACTGTGCTGGTATACCTGCGACAGGTAAGTGATGATTGATTAGTGCCATTAATGACATATGCTACAGATTGGCTTTATCTAGGTCAATGCATCAGTAAACATTATGCACATCAAACTTGACATTATATTAATATACTGCACAAGTCATATTGACAATTCTCCACATTCTGATTTATTGCTGGTATGGTTTATCAACTTATCTGGTAGACCATTTGGAAGGAAAAAGGAGTTCTATCTGATCTGGTACAACTGTTTTAACTAAAAATGAACCCACACTCTTGAACATTTTAAATAACCCTCCTCTTTCTTTCCCATGTTGATGTAAGGGACATTGTTTAGATTAGATGAGGTAGAAATTACAGTGATAGAAATTACTTTTGCTCTGGCTATGCCGTAACATGTTCATATTGTAATTGGTAACTATGGCAACTCAGTGGCACCCTGGTGAACAATTCTTTTCTCGTCTATCCAAGTGGAGTTGTCACATAATCACACACGACAGTGATTAACTCCATTTGCTTCAATGTTCCACGGAGTGTTACCCCAGTTTACAGCGCATTGTTTTCCCCCTGAAGCTTATGACAGCTGACAGACTGTTATTGTACATGCGGCTAAGAATCGGCGGAGAATTGCAAGAGGTTCCTGTGTGTCGCCCCTTTCCATCACTTTCTGTAATCTGATCGACACAAGTCTTTTGTGTACAAACCCAGGCAGACTGTTTTCTAAGCCCCTACTCATTAGCCCTTATTTATGTGACTGAAAACTGACAGGTCTGCATAATAAATGGCATTATTTCCCACCATATGACTGATAACAAGTTCTATCAATCACACGCAGTAATTTCAGCCAGGCTCCGACATTCTATCATCCAGGCAACCCAGATTACCTTCAAAGCGGAATGCTGTCACATTTCATAAACCCACTCCAGATGATAAAATACAATGCCATAGTAACACAACCCTGCACTTCACAGCAACACAAAAACAATCACTATCATCAGGTGGAGCAATCAATCAAATGGTTGAAAAACAGCTCGCTAGTTGAAAAAGACGGCGGTCTGCAATATTTGATCTACAATGCGTGCCTACTCCTTACTTTTTCTGTTTGCTTCACTGAGCAAACACACTTACACAAAAGCTAAGGACCGTGATTGATTAGCACTGAGAATGAGCCGGCAGCTTCGTACAAAGGGTTTATGACAGATGATTGACAGTGAGTAATGGCCAGACTTGATGAATGCGAGACAAGGTGTCTACCTATGACAGATGGTGTAATAAAAAATAACCGGAGCCTTCTGGAAGGAAAATGGTTGAATAAACTGGCCTCGCCCATCTTGCATTTTCGAGTTTTTCTCACCACTGAATGTTGATGATTTAAAATGAGAACTGTCAGTAAAATAACGATACACAAAGGAAATGTAAACAAATTCATTCAGGTGCCTGACGTGAAATGAAACAGACGACTTTTCAAGTCACGCCGGTTTTCAATCGTTCATACTCACAGTTATGGCGTTTGGGGCACTCCTGCTTCCGTCTAGGCATTGTTATAGTATCTGCTGTCGTTCCTTTTCATCTGTGCACACCTCGACTTCGAATTTAGCGCACAAATTCAGACGACCGTGCAGGTTCAACGTGAGCCACTATTGACCTGCTAATGTAAACCGGAAATGTAGTTCACGCGAGGAATTGTGGGGGAATGTCCAATAATTGCTCAGAGCATGCTCAGTACTCACATCAAAGAAGAACATATCCGGTCTTTTGGCTGAAGCGATCGGTTTGTCAACATAACATTACAATTAAAATTTGCGTAAGCTATTCAGTTTCACGAACAATATGTAAACATGTCGAAAAAATACTTGCAAATTAAAACGTCCAATCCATTGATGTGCATGTAGAACAATCGGTGTGCGTGAGTTGATTCACGGCTGAAATCCGACGCTTGCCGAGTGCAATAGTACTATAATCACTAATACTGCTACTAGTACTATTAAACAGTAAAGTGCCCTTTTAAGTCGAGATCTCAGCTAGTGTGGTCCTCTAAGTTTGAAAGAGATAATTTGTGACTTGAAGCATGCCAGCGCCCATAAAAGTGAAGTTATCAGCAAATCGCCTGAATTTGGCTATATTCACAATTTTCCAAAGCTCCCCACAGAAAATTATAAGGACAAAGAAATGCTTATTTTATCTTGTTTGGTATGAATGCCTTAAGTGAGATAGATGGCCTCTGACAATATATGAGTGTGGACAGGGTGGCTTGTTTGGGAACATTACCTAATACATCGGTTTATTGACTTTTATTTGGCAATCCTGGCATTTTCAGGACTCTAAAGTGTAAATCAATGTGAAATACCTAAGTTATCTTCTACAAAAGAAGTGGTATAAAAAATGATGCAGATATATAGAACTTGATGCCTGGAAGCCAGATATTAGATTTTTGAAGCAGTGTTATTATTCAAAGAATTCAAAAAAGGTTCTTAACTACTTTTGTATCAGCAGTGGCTTCCTGTTGAATATCAAAATTGATGACTAGCAGGATTTTCATTGACACGAGTGTAGAATAAATAAGAGGGAATGAAAGATAGATGTCAGTGCAAGATTGATGTACCACCATTCAGAAGATGAAATAATTGCCCATGAATTTACGAAATAAATGCGAAGGACATATATGACAAATTTTCATGTCTGTGACAGTAGTTGAATTATTGCTCTTCATGTCATTTCACATTACTCTCTTCATTTGCCCTGAAAATTGGTGAAAAAAAAAAGAAAAACAGGTTGATGCTTTCATTGTTGCACTATTCGGAGACAGTGTACTACTTTTATGATCACAAAAATAATCGCTTTAGAAAATAGGTAAATGTCTTAAATGCAATTTAATTACAAGTAATATTGAGGAAGAAAGGAGATTATAAATGAAAAAAATTATTGAGCCTGTGTTTGTGGTAGCTAAGCAAAAACAAATGTGAAAAAAAAGAAAGAAAATAGGTTATTAAAGTGGTGAATATTTTATTGAATTTCAACCCAAATTCAAACTTCATTCTTATATTAAAATTTCAATCTGGTTTAGTCAAATTTTACTTAAATCCATCTATCTAGATGAGGTTAAATTTTCCATATACCATACACCAATGTGTTTATCATTACAGATTAGGCAGCCTAATAAAGCAGCCTCCAAAAATGATGGACCTGGAGGAGGACAACGACCCTCACATCTGCCTGAATTGCAATACCACCATTGTGGGTCTCATGAACTACATCACCCATAAGAAAAGCTTGTGTCCTGCAAAGAAACCTAGTCCTGCCAGGGCGACAACTGTCTCTAGGAGCTTGCCACATGAAACTGCCGCAGCTAGTAATATAAACAATACAACACACATAAACATATACAGTAACTATACGTGCACAGATACTGTTGCGCTGAGTAATAATTTTTCAAGCACAGACCCTGTGCAGGAAAGGAGAAGCTTTGTCACCACAGAGGGGACAGCTACAATATCTGATAAGGATAACTTGACATGTACGGAGGTGACACCTGTCACTACGGACTTTCTGTTCGATTTTGCCAATGCCGTAACCACTTTCAGCGCTCAAACTTCATCGAACAGCTCTGTGAGGAATTTTGGTGGAGAACCGTCTTGCAGCCCTATCTATACTCAGTCCAACCTTTCTCTGGATGTCGGTGATGCAAGTAATGGCTTTTCGCTTCCTGTTTTGAGTCCACCGTCCGATCAACCTGGAAAAGCCCAAGACTCAAATATTCCCCTTGAAGAGAAGGACCAAGATGTGAAACGTCCGGAGGATTTCTTTTCTTCTTTAAATTTGCAAGTCAAGCCCAGGACCACTGGAAAAAGTGTACAAACTAAAGATGTCGTCAGTTACACGCCTGCTGAGAATGAAAAAGACAAGAGTTTACCAATATCCAACTTACTAGAAAATTTGGGATTCTGCAGCGATTCGGAGAATGAAGAGTATGATGAAGAGTCAGAAGAACTAAGTGGTGAAGAGGAGGAGGATGAAAGTGAAGATGAAACCTGGAAACCTGGTTCTCGACCACCTAGAGGCCACACAGGGGGAAAATGGGAACCTGGTTCTCGACCTCCCAGAGGCCACACAGGGGGCAAATGGAAACCTGGTTCTCGACCGCCCAGAGGCCACACAGGGGGCAAGTGGGAACCTGGTTCGCGACCACCCAGAGGCCACACAGGGGGCAAATGGGAACCTGGTTCTCGACCGCCTAGAGGCCACACAGGGGGCAAATGGAAACCTGGTTCGCGACCACCCAGAGGCCACACAGGGGGCAAATGGAAACCTGATACCCAGCAGACTAGGAGCCAGGGAGGTGGTAAAACCATACCAAATACAGTGGCAGAAGGTGGTGGAAAGTGGAAACCTTCAGGTACATCATGCTGCAATGTCTTCGTTATTTATTTTTAAAGGGATAATAACTCTTTGTATGAGGTCTATATTTCACAATAAAAGCATTGTGAATAACTCATAGAAATAAAATCTATTCTGTTTTACGACAAAAACAGCAGTTATAGCTATTATTCTGATATCTGAGCTTGTCTTCAGACCATGTGACCTCCATTGATGGCTGTACTCTGTTATAATCTCTTACTTAAGAGATTTTAACAAAAAACCAAACTTTTTAGAAAAAAACCAGGGACTAACTTTGAATTTAAAAATGGATTCATTAACCATTGGTAAGTATGGGAAAATTGTTGTTTACTCCAGGAAAATTAATTTTTTGGCCAAAACGAAGAGTTATTATCCTTTTAAGTATATTTTCTTATTTTTATGATTTAGGAAGTATGGTAATTACTCGATCTTTTCAATGGGGGGAAATTGTGAATTTTACTGATACTGTATTATTTGGTTATAATTCTAAACATCAGAAAATTGCTATTGATTGGTAGCAGCAAAATTGAAAAGCAGGTCACTCTATAGTTCTATTCTATGCAGTAAAAGCACCACAAATACTCAATTAAAATATAATTTTGTACTAGTAAATTATAAAATCGCAAATCTGAAAGTTTCATAATTTTTGCCTATTGAAATGATCGAGTCATTACCATAGGTTTTGTATGTGTTATGTTCTTGGAGATTTTGTTTCTTTTGATTTTTAGGAAGAATGTTTCTTTCATTTTCCTGGAAGGTGTTGTCTCTTGAATAACACTGGAAAGGTTGGTTTCTTTTCAGATGCAGGAAAGATTATTAAAAACTAAAAAATCCTTTAAGGGTATTTATTCTTAAATAATTGCAGAAGTATGTTGTATTTTAGTATATGAGGAAGACGTCAGACACCTACCTTGCATCTGGAATATAGACATAAAAACAAAGTAATTCTGGGTGCAAGTATAATAGACACTTCTCGAAAAGAAATTTTTATTTAAATAAATGTTAGTGAAATGCAGAAATTATTAGATTTTTTTTTTTTACTGTTTTGAATTTAGTTCATGTTTGCAAGGGTCAGAATAACATTGAAATGATTATCTAATAGTAAAAATTCTGTGCACTCTATGAATTCCACACCATGCTAAGAGTTCAAATTTGGTGCTTTTCGGAATAGGGTCTTTTTATTAATATTTCTTCTGATTTTTTTCAAAGCAAGTGTTTACGACAATAATACACTTATCAGTAAGTTGAAGGCCAGTGCACATAACACCAAGACAATATACTTTGATCTTGTTATGTAAAATGACAGTATCTGGACCCATCTTAGTAATGATGATACATACTTTTGATCTGAGAAAGAAGATTAAATCTTGGTTAATGACCTCGTATGACATTTGATTTCTGTTTAACCAAATGTAGAATCATAGTTAAAGTACAATGTGTCTAACTTACCATATATAATAGGTATTTCCAGTAATACCATGGGAATTTGCTTAATGTGAACCTCTGTAAAATATGAGTTGGAGATTTGTCCGAGACATGGGCCACTTGCTCCAAGCCCCCTGCTTGTAAAAAAAAGTCTGCCTAAAAAAACATTACCGTTCTTCAGTTGTGATCTGCAGCATTGTCAGGGGCGGATTTAGGGCGTCTTCTGGGTCTTCCGGAAGACGGTCAGATTTTCAAGTTTATATTGATGGGTGTCTTTTTTTTTCTGTCGGAAGACGGTCAAAAATTGAAGAACAGATCAACAAAGATAATTTGGAAGACTGTCAAAAAATATCTCTGAATCCGCTCCTGATTGTGACCTGGCTAGTGACATGCTGGGCATGTATCAATATTGGTACTTACAGGTGTATTCAATTGTAAGGCACTATCCTATCCAAAGCTATCATAACCCAAGATGTCTCTGATTTAAACTTTTCTTAAATCTGCCCCCAAATTTTCCATTTCACTAGAATAATGTAAATGTAATGTGAATATAACACAACTTGGCAACTAATTAAAACACAGTGAATTGAATTTCATGAGAAAATGTAAAACTGTTTGTTGGACTGTATGGTTTCAGGTCCAAACTATTATTTCTTTAGTGATAGAGGCCGCAATGGTACAGTTTGAGAGATCCTAAAATATAATTACACTACAGGTTTTTTTATTGTTTTCACAAGTCGATTCGCACAAAAAATTGGATGTTTATTGCTTGGCCTTGTTGAGCACATAGACTTCATCTCAAAAGTGACCAAAGGTTATATAGTGGATTAGGAAAAATAATTTATCATATCTTAAACATGGTGCCCAAATGTTGGGATAAAATGATTCAAGAATGCCATACCTGCCTCCTAGAAGTGCTTCAAAGATAATATAACTGGCATCGGATACTTTTTAGCAAATGCTGAAAACAGTTACTGTACCCATCTGTTTGAAAGGAGCATTTAAAAAAATGTCACAAAAGTATATTTTGGAGCCAGTCAGTTATTATTTCAAATATTTTTACAATTTAGAGGCATTTCTTTGCAAGTGTTCTGGAAGGTAGACATAAAATATTTCGATAAATTACAGACAAAGGTGTTTAAAAAGTTGATATTCTTCTTTGGTATAATACAGTAAAATGGATGGACGTTGCACATTTAACTGATCTTGCCCTCGTAAGATAGTTGAAGAATAAAGTACTTGCTCTGTGTAATTTCTGGTCACTGACCTCCTCTGTCATATAATCTGATTGATGACCGGAATGTGTAGGGGGGGGACTGAATGGAACATGTGCAAAAAATAATAATAAAAAGAATACCAGTGGGTCAACCAGATTATCAAAAAGAAGAAGAGGAAGAAAAGAGGAAGAAAAAAAGAATAAAAAAATCTTCAAATTTCCTCTCGAAAATTTAATGCATTGTCCATACTGGGATGTGGCATTAGTTGATGAAGCCAATTCATCATGGCTTTAATGTTTGCTGTCGTGCATTATTTCTCATTACTGGCTGCTGGAGGCTGTGGTTAAGTGCACTAATACAAAAGTGATCTATGATCTCCATCCAAAGACCAGGACATTAACAGACATCCAACATTAGCTACGCCTACTATTTCCTAGAACCAGCCAATGTGGATTAGGGCCGCGTTCACTCTCGAGTTGAGCAGGTCGATCTGAAAGATGTATGCACTGGCCTAATAGTTTTAATTGTTATTAATACGGCTACGTGAGATGTGCTAGTCTCTCTTCACAACAAGTCCAATGCTGCTGTAATGAACTTTGAGTAGAATCCACAGTGCTGATGTCATTTTGATTGATCCAAGTGAGTGTAATGTGTAGCCAGCCTATGAAGAACGGCGAGGACATAGATTACGTCAGATTGATTACCGATTTGAAGAGTTGTGGCGGAACATTTTATGTTGTTGTTAATTATAATGGAAGGGACATGTTGTTGAGTCACTGCGGAACAAATTATGGGTTGAGAGAAAAAGGCAATTAATACTCCCATGTTATGTTTGGATTCTGGGCTTAAAGTTCAATTAATGATAAGTGGAATTTTGATGAACGTAAATATCAATTGTCTTCTGTATTTCACTGGTTATTGTTTTCTCCTAATAGCCATGGGCTGGTATCATAAAATGTTTTGATGGAGATTTGATTTCGGATGAATTATTTGTTATTTTAGAGTAATTGTGTCATAGAGTTCATTAAAAAGATGAACAGATAATGCCATATGATGTTAATGGAGGACAGGGCTCTTTTCACATCATGCAGTAAATTTAGTGAAACAGTCTCGTAGTGCTTAGAGAGGTCCTAACATGTAAAGAAGTGTCAAGAGTTTTTACTCCTTTTTACAAGTTCTCTAAAAGTTCACTTCTGGTCATTCACTTAAGTTAATTAATTGACCATGTCAGCTATGTTAAGAAGACTCTCTTATGTAAGAACCAGGATATTAAATTATCGTATAAATTTGCAAAGCATACTGGTACAGACTGGCCTGTATTGCTTAGTATGCCAATCGATGTGAAAAGCTTTCAGAACACTGGACTAACAAATCTGTGGATGAAATATGGTGACCCACTAAAAAAAGCTTGCCATTTAATTCCCAATTAGACACTGAATAGATTCCCTGCAGGGATTAAGCAACAAGCATTCAAGTGGGTGGGCCATGTTTGATCCACAGATCTGTTAGTCTGCTGTTTTGAATGCGCTCTAAGACAATAGAAAGGCATGCAATAAATCTTGCAAAGTGTGAAAATCAATCATGGGTTATGTGACAAAACTTAAATGATAACTAAGAAAATCACCTTCAACCTTTTGATGATTAGAGATAAAAAGATATCTGTTTTATGTTATTTCATCATCATAATTTATATATTTGTCTTTTTACTTTTCAAATTATTTTTTAGATTCTTCATCCCCTCCACCTTGCCACACTGGAGGGAAATGGATGCCAGTAGAAACAGTGGGCGAGAAGTCCACCAATACAGCACAACCTGGTGCTCCACTGGGTATCCATGATGGCAATACGAATCTCGACCAGCAGCCAGAAGATGGCGCTGTTAACTCTAGTCAACGAGAGGAGCCATGCAGCTTGGATGAGTGGATGGATGGGGATAATTCTTTTTCTGACTTTGGGGAAGATGATAGAGAGAAGAGTATTAACTCTGTTCGACTGGAAACTGAAGGGAAAAAACATAAGAAGAAAGTCAAAATAGCAGATAGTTTGGACGGGAAATATTATTGCCAGCCATGTCAAAAATCATTCAGGACTAAGTATACTTATGCTTACCATTTTGATAGCAAGAACCATAAGCTGAATGTTAAGATTGCTTCACAGCATGGTGACACCAATGAGAAAACATTTTCTGACTACTCTTTTAGAAAAAACGTTGAAGATAGCAGTGACAGGGTAGTTGAAAGTGACAGAAGTGGCACAGGAACTGCAGGAATAAAACATGGGAGTGGAAATGAGATACAAGATAGTGTGGATGGAAGATATTATTGCCAGCCATGTCAGAAATCATTCATCAATAAGTATACCCACGCTTACCATTGTGAAAGCAACAGCCATAAGTTGTGTGTTAAAGTTGCCTCCGTCTCTAAGGACTCCACTGAACCCTTCAGCCACAAAACAAGTGCAAATGAAGGTGGAACCAACAACAAGGCAAATGAACAAGGAGACACCACTCAGGGACCATCGGACATACACAACAGGAGGAAAACCCGCGAGGAAACTTGTTCCTGTGAGGAGGAAGAAGGTAGTGTTGAGGGTGGAAGAGAACCCTCGGAGGCAGACACCGAAGATTATTATAGCGGAACATGTGACCCAGATGTGAACAACAAGGTGAATGAAAGTCATGAATGGGAGAATGCGATTGGGCAGGGCGATGCTAACGAAGATGAAGATAACGATCATGATACCAAGTGTGGTCCTGATTTTGTGTATTCCTGTGTCCCCTGTGGCAGAACATTTAATTCTAAATACACCTATGCTTACCATTTGGAATCTGGCTTACACAAGAGAAGAAGTGGACCAAAAGAACCCGAGGAAAAGGAAGATGTGAAGATCATCTGTAGGCCCTGTGACCGAGTGTTTCACAATAAGTACAACATGGCCAGACACCTGCTGACGGGTCTGCACTGTAAGAAGGCCAAAGGTCATCCCGAGGAGTTGAACTTGATCGTGCGCTACCAGGCGCTCATGCTGCGCCTCAGTCCATACCAGTGCCAGATATGCTTGTTTTTCTGCAACTCTCACAGTGATCTCAAGATCCACATGGCAACGGCTGATCATGTGACAAAAACCTGGGATTTGATTGGTCCAATGATGTGTGGTATTTGTAAGTTCACGTGTGAAACCAATGAGACTATGTTGAAGCACATGGAGCTGGCGGAGCATCTGAAAGCTCTGAAGAGCACTGACCGTGTCTGTGTCATTAAAGAGTCCAGATTTCTGATAAACTGTAAAATATGTGGCAAGAAGGTCCATTCGGCCAGCCAGTTGGAGAAACACTTGAATACGAAGCACACTAATCCTCCCAAGGAAAAGCATACCCCAGTGTGTGCACAGTGCGGGATAACGTGCATCTCGAATTATGCACTGAACATACATGTGCGGCGCATTCACACAAAGGAAAGGCCGTTCCATTGTAACATTTGTCAGGTTTCCTTCTTTGATCACTACACCTTGTTTCTCCATGAAATGAGCATCAAGCATCAAAAGATGTGTAACCAAAAGAATGGAGAAAATAACAAGCCAAAGAAAAAGTTAGGTGGGTGGCAAAATTTGTGAAAGGTTGCTTTTTAAGAGTTTTCTGAATTGTATGAAAACTCAGAATTCAAAGTAAGACCAAGGAGAGCATGGTTAAATCTTTAAAAAAAAAATAAATAACTGAATGAATTTTTTATAATTTATTGTATTAAATTAAATTATTAGTAATTAATGTTTCAGTATACAGTATAAGAATATTCTTAACCAAAGTGGTCAACATGTTTTAAACAACAGTTATGCTTTATACATATTTAGGATTGGTTTGGCCTTCTTTCTCTTTCAGAGAATAATTAATAAAGGCATTCCCATCTGTAATGAATTTGATTAATAATCAAATATATTTTTTCATCTATATATAATATACATGTGTGTATTTCAGAGTCCAGAGATAAGGCCAAAAAGAATGGAAAAAAGAGTTTGTACAAATGTAGACAATGTGACTACACTGTGACAGTGCATGCTCAATTACGACAGCACTTCATTCAAGCGCATGCTGATGCCGTACAAGAATGCAAAGTGTGTGGGATCACGTTCTGCGATAAATACAAGTTGAAAGCCCACTGCAACACTTCAGGGCATCGGAGGAAGGAGCAGCTAGCAGAGCAGGCTGATGTACACGTCTTTTCCTGTGACATTTGCAAGAGGAAATTCTACAGCTCTAAGACGTATAAGGTACCTGCCTAGGTCATTGCCCAAGAGCATTATGTGTTCAGTTCAATTCAATTCGATCATGATTTGTGTTTATGGTAAATTTATAACCACACCAAGAAGTTGTATCTCACTGCTGAGCTTGAATATTTTATTAGTAATCTAACTAGTACATCTGTTCATTATATGAAGATATATATTTGTTCAGTCACAAACTGGCAATGCAATCACCAATTAGAGAATGGTAATGCACCAGTTGTATTGTTGTTATTATATTATATTATATTGTACACAGTCATGATAATTTATGAATTGAATTTAAATTCAATTAAATGCAATTGAAACCTAGTGCCAGGCAATTTTAGGCTTGTCTTGGTCACAGTAATTTTAATTTTCTTTCATACCAAAAGAGGGCAGCACATTTTGTAAAACAATGATTGAGACCAGTCAGTAATGATGATAGAAACTGGTAACTTAAATGAAAGCTTTTAATTTGAGCTGAAAAAATTATAAAATTTTTATAACTGAAGTTTATACTTATAGAAGTGTAACAAAAGCTTAATGCTTTATTTTGGCTAAGAAAATGGAAAATATAAAACATTTCCTTTCTTTCATTGTCCTTCATTTCTTCATAGACTTTCAATATTAGTATACATTGTAAGTGTTATAAGTCTGTGTAAATACCCTTCTGCTTACCCCTGTATTTTTTTCCATTTCAGAAGCACTTGGTGTCAGCCCACGCAGAGTCATGTGGGATGGACCTTATGGGCAGCGCACATGAAACTCAGGAGAAATACAAAGATTTCCTGAGTAGCATCCAGCAGTCCCGTAGCAAAGTTCCTTGCCCAGACTGTGGGAAACATGTTGCACCCCGGTATATGGAGTCTCATTTGAGAGTACACACAGGTATTAGAATTTTCTGCGGTTCAGGACCCCTTCGTCTTCCCCTGTCCTCTACACACACTTATATACAAGCACACACACACACGCACGCACATGCACGCACACACACACTTCCCCGTCCTAGTTTTATAAATGCAGCTGAGACATTTTTCGTGCACTGCAAGCAGTCTTCTTCACCTTTTTGCCCATAAAGTGCTAAATTTTATTGCACCAATATCTGATTGTCTATTAAAGAAATGGGGGGGGGGGGGGGGGGCATTTTTGCCCAGTTGGGGTTTTTTTTGTNCAATTAAGCATATTTTTACAATTTTAGAGGTATTTCTTTGCAAGTGTTCTGGAAGGTAGACATAAAATATTTCGATAAATTACAGATAAAGGTGTTTAAAAAGTTGATATTCTTCTTTGGTATAATACAGTAAAATGGATGGACGTTGCACATTTAACTGATCTTGCCCTCGTAAGATAGTTGAAGAATAAAGTACTTGCTCTGTGTAATTTCTGGTCACTGACCTCCTCTGTCATATAATCTGATTGATGACCGGAATGTGTAGGGGGGGGGGGGGGACTGAATGGAACATGTGCAAAAAAAAAATAAAATAATAATAATAATAAATACCAGTGGGTCAACCAGATTACCAAAAAGAAGAAGATGAAGAAAAAAAGACGAAGTAAAGAATAAAAAAATCTTCAAATTTCCTCTCGAAAATTTAATGCACTGTCCATACTGAGATGTGGCATTAGTTGATGAAACCAATACATCATGGCTTTAATGTTTGCTGTCGTGCATTATTTCTCATTACTGGCTGCTGGAGGCTGTGGTTAAGTGCACTAATACAAAAGTGATCTATGATCTCCATCCAAAGACCAGGACATTAACAGACATCCAACATTAGCTACGCCTACTATTTCCTAGAACCAGCCAATGTGGATTAGGGCCGCGTTCACTCTCGAGTTGAGCAGGTCGATCTGAAAGATGTATATATGCACTGGCCTAATAGTTTTAATTGTTATTAATACGACTACATGAGATGTGCTAGTCTCTCTTCACAACAAGTCCAATGCTGCTGTAATGAACTTTGAGTAGAATCCACAGTGCTGATGTCATTTTGATTGATCCAGTTGAGTGTTATGTGTAGCCAGCCTATGAAGAACGGGGAGGACATAGATTACGTCAGATTGATTACCGATTTGAAGAGTTGTGGCGGAACATTTTATGTTGTTGTTAATTATAATGGAAGGGACATGTTGTTGAGTCACTGCGGGAACAAATTATGGGTTGAGAGTAAAAGGCAATTAATACTCCCATGTTATGTTTGGATTCTGGGCTTAAAGTTCAATTAATGATAAGTGGAATTTTGATGAACGTAAATATCAATTGTCTTCTGTACTTTGCTGGTTATTGTTTTCTCCTAATAGCCATGGGCTGGTATCATAAAATGTTTTGATGGAGATTTGATTTCAGATGAATTATTTGTTATTTTAGAGTAATTGTGTCATAGAGTTCATTAAAAAGATGAACAGATAATGAAATATGATGTCAATGGAGGATGGGGCTATTTTCACATCATGCAGTAAATTTAGTGAAACAGTCTAGTAGTGCTTAGAGAGGTCCTAACATGTGAAGAAGTGTCAAGAGTTTTTACTACTTTTTACAAGTTCTCTAAAAGTTCACTTCTGGTCATTCACTTAAGTTAATTAATTGACCATGTCAGCTATGTTAAGAGGACTCTTATGGAAGAATCAAGATATTAATTAAATAATAAATCGTATTTGCAAAGCAAACTAGCACAGACTAGCTTGTATTGCTTAGTATGTTCCTCGATGTGAAAAGGACCAATAAGAGCGCAAACAAATCCGCGGATCAAATATGGCAACCCACTAAAAAGCTTGCCAGTTAATTCCCCGATTAGACACTGAATAGATTCCCCGCGGGGATTATGCAGCAAGCATTCAAGTGGGTCAGCCATATTTGATCCACAGATCTGTTAGTCTGCTGTTCTGAATGTGCTCTAAGACAATAGAAAGGCATGCAATAAATCTTGCAAAGTGTGAAAATCAAACATGGGTTATGATACATAACTAATTAGAAAATCACCTTCAACCTTTTGATGATTAGAGATAAACCGATATCTGTTTTATGTTATTTCATCATCATAATTTATATATTTGTCTTTTTATTTTTCAAATTATTTTTTAGATTCTTCATCCCCTCCACCTTGCCACACTGGAGGGAAATGGATGCCAGTAGGAACAGTGGGCGAGAAGGCCACCAGTACAGCACAACCTGGTGCTCCCTTGGGTATCCATGATGGCAATACGAATCTCGACCAGCAGCCAGAAGATGGAGCTGTTAACTCTAGTCAACAAGAGGAGCCATGCAGCTTGGATGAGTGGATGGATGGGGATAATTCTTTTTCGGATTTTGGGGAAGATGATAGAGAGAAGAATGTTAACTCTGTTAGACTGGAAATTGAAAGGAAAAAACATAAGAAGAAAGGCAAAATACCAGATAGTTTGGACGGAAAATATTATTGCCAGCAATGTCGAAAATCATTCAGGACTAAGTATACTTACGCTTACCATTTTGATAGCAAGAACCATAAGCTGAATGTTAAGATTGCTTCGCAGCATGGTGACACCAATGAGAAAACATTTTCTGACTACAGGGAAGGTGATGTAGAAGAGAATATCAACTCTTTTAGAAAAAATGTCGAAGATAGCAGTGACAGGGTAGTTGAAGGTGACACAAATGGTATAGGAACCTCAGGGATCAAACATGGGAGGGGAAATGAGATACAAGATAGTGTGGATAGAAGATATTATTGCCAGCCATGTCAGAAATCATTCATCAATAAGTATACCTACGCTTACCACTGTGAAAGCAACAGTCATAAGTTGTGTGTTAAAGTTTCCTCTGTCTCTAAGGACTCCACTGAACCCCACAGCCACAAAACAAGTGCAAATGAAGGTGGAACCAACAACAAGGCAAATGAACTAGGAGACACCACTCGGGGACCATCGGACAAACACAACAGGAGGAAGAACCGCGAGGAAACTTGTTCCTGTGAGGAGGAAGAAGGTAGTGATGAGGGTGGAAGAGAACCCTCGGAGACAGACACCGAGGATTATTATGGCGGAACATGTGACCCAGATGTGAACGACAAGGTGAATGAAAGTCATGAATGGGAGAATGCGATTGGGCAGGGCGATGCTAATGAAGATGAAGATAACGATCATGACACCAAGTGTGGTCCTGATTTTGTGTACTCCTGTGTCCCCTGTGGCAGAACATTTAATTCTAAATACACCTATGCTTACCATTTGGAATCTGGCTTACACAAGAGAAGAAGTGGCCCAAAAGAAACCGAGGAAAAGGAAGATGTGAAGATCATCTGTAGGCCCTGTGACCGAGTGTTTCACAATAAGTACAACATGGCCAGACACCTGCTGACGGGTCTGCACTGTAAGAAGGCCAAAGGTCATCCCGAGGAGTTGAACTTGATCGTGCGCTACCAGGCGCTCATGCTGCGCCTCAGCCCATACCAGTGCCAGATTTGCTCATTTTTCTGCAACTCTCACAGTGATCTCAAGATCCACATGGCAACGGCTGATCATGTGACAAAAACCTGGGATTTGATTGGTCCAATGATGTGTGGTATTTGTAAGTTTACATGTGAAACCAATGAGACTATGTTGAAGCACATGGAGCTGGCGGAGCATCTGAAAGCTCTGAAGAGCACTGACCGTGTCTGTGTCATTAAAGAGTCCAGATTTCTGATAAACTGTAAAATATGTGGCAAGAAGGTCCATTCGGCCAGCCAGCTGGAGAAACACTTGAATACGAAGCACACTAATCCTCCCAAGGAAAGGCATACCCCAGTGTGTGCACAGTGCGGGATAACGTGCATCTCGAACTACGCACTGAACATACATGTGCGGCGCATTCACACAAAGGAAAGGCCGTTCCACTGTAACATTTGTCAGGTTTCCTTCTTTGATCACTACACCTTGTTCCTCCATGAAATGAGCATCAAGCATCAAAAGATGTGTAACCAGAAGAATGGAGAAAATAACAAGCCAAAGAAAAAGCCAGGTGGGTGGCAAGTTTTGTGAAAGGTTGCTTTTTAAGATTTTTTCTGAATTGTATGAAAACTCAGAATTCAAGGTAAGACCAAGGGGAGCATTGTTAAATCTAAAAAAGATTAACTGAATGGACTTTATATAATTTATTGTATTAAATTAAATTATTAGTAATTAATGTTTCAGTATACAGTATAAGAATATTCTTAACCAAAGTGGTCAACATGTTTTAAACAACAGTTACGCTTTATACATATTTAGGATTGGTTTGGCCTTCTTTCTCTTTCAGAGAATAATTAATAAAGTCATTCCCATCTGTTATGAATTTGATTAATAATCAAATATATTTTTTCATCTATATATAATATACATGTGTGTATTTCAGAGTCCAGAGATAAGGCCAAAAAGAATGGAAAAAAGAGTTTGTATAAATGTAGACAATGTGACTACACTGTGACAGTGCATGCTCAATTACGACAGCACTTCATTCAAGCGCATGCTGATGCCGTACAAGAATGCAAAGTGTGTGGGATCACGTTCTGCGATAAATACAAGTTGAAAGCCCACTGCAACACTTCAGGGCATCGGAGGAAGGAGCAGCTAGCAGAGCAGGCTGATGTACACGTCTTTTCCTGTGACATTTGCAAGAGGAAATTCTACAGCTCTAAGACGTATAAGGTACCTGCCTAGGTCATTGCCCAAGAGCATTATGTGTACAGTTCAATTCAATTCAATCATGATTTGTGTTTATGGTAAATTTATAACCACACCAAGAAGTTGTATCTCACTGCTGAGCTTGAATATTTTATTAGTAATCTGTCTAGTACATCTGTTCATTATATGAAGATATATATTTGTTCAGTCACAAACTGGCAATGCAATCACCAATTAGAGAATGGTAATGCACCAGTTGTATTGCTGTTATTATATTATGTTGTATTGTACACGGTCATGATAATTTATGTACCAGAACCGAAATGAATTGAATTTAAATTCAATTAAATTCAATTGAAACCTAGTGCCAGGCAATTTTAGGCTTGTCTTGGTCACAGTAATTTTAATTTTCTTTCATACCAAAAGAGGGCAGCACATTTTGTAAAACAATGATTGAGACCAGTCAGTAATGATGATGGAAACTGGTAACTTAAATGAAAGCTTTTAATTTGAGCCGAAAAAATTATAAAATTTTTCTTATGGTATAATTGAAGTTTATAGAAGTGTAACAAAAGCTTAATGCTTTATTTGGGCTAAGAAAATGGAAAATATAAAACATTTCCTTTCTTTCATTGCCCTTCATTTCTTCATAGACTTTCAATATTAGTATACATTGTAAGTGTTATAAGTCTGTGTGAATACCCTTCTGCTTACCCCTGTATTTTTTTTCCATTTCAGAAGCACTTGGTGTCAGCCCACGCAGAGTCATGTGGGATGGACCTTATGGGCAGCGCACATGAAACTCAGGAGAAATACAAAGATTTCCTGAGTAGCATCCAGCAGTCCCGTAGCAAAGTCCCTTGCCCAGACTGTGGGAAACATGTTGCACCCAGATATATGGAGTCCCATTTGAGAGTACACACAGGTAGTAAAATTTTCTGTGGTTCAGGAGCCCTTCGCCTTCCCCTGTCCTCTACACGCACTTATATACAAGCACACACACACACAGTCACACACACGCACATGCACGCACACTTCCCCTTCCTAGTTTTATAAATGCAGCTGAGACATTTCTTCTGTCTTCTTCACCTTTTTGCACATAAAGTGTTAAATTTTATTGCACCAATATCTGATTGTCTATTAAAGAAATGGGGGGGGGGGGGGGGGTAGCTATTTCGACCAGTTGAGGTCATTTTAACTTTTCAACCATCTTTAGGCAGGTAATCACAGAACTCTGTTTTAACGCGTTTGGAAAATTTGTACACCATTTTATCTTTACGCATTTAATAGTGGAATGCTTCCTATCATGAATGTCATCTGTTATATTTTTTATCAGGTGCATAATATACAATTACCTTTAAAAAAAAAGCAAAGTTAAATCTAAAATAGCCAATGGCTTGGAGGTTTTTTTTTCGGAATAAAAATTGAAGTTATTCTGTATTTTTGATTTTAGGCGAACTTCCGTTCAAGTGTACACAATGCTCCACCTGCTTCTCTCACGTGGACACTCTACGCCGCCATGTCTACCATGTCCATCTCAAAGAACCACGAGGAACATGCAACCTGTGTAAGAAATCGTTTTTCACCAGCCATGGCTACAAAGTCCACATGCTGTCTCATGATAAAAATGCTGTCAAACAATTTGTTTGCGATGTGTGTGGTGCTGAATTTTGGACACAGTCATCTTTGAACCTCCATCAGAAAAATCATCAGAAAAATTTTCAGTGTCCGTACGAAAATTGCAGAGTAAAGGTAGCATACAAAAATGACCTGAAGCTTCACATGCGCGTGCACTCAAATGAGCGGCCATATTTGTGCGATCTCTGCGGCTACGCAGGCAAGGGTCAACAAGCACTAACCCGCCATCGCAGGACTCACACAGGTGAGCGAAATTACAGCTGCGATTACTGCCCTTACAAGAGCACAGACTGTACCAAGATGAAGAGACACATGCGCATTCATATTGGCTCCAAGCCCTTCAAGTGCCCCTACTGTGAATATTCCTGCAACACTTTGGAGAACGTGAGGAAGCACATTCTCAAATCTAAAAAACACAAAGATTGTTTTGTGTACCCATGCAGATTTTGCTCCTACGGTAGCAATAGCAGCAAGGAGTTCAAGTCACACATTCTCAGCGAACACAAAGACCAGATCAGTGACTCTGGCACTATAGACGTCGTATCAGTCTACTCAGGATTGTACGTGAAAATAGAAGATCTAAAAGCCCCTGCTGAGGGAATGAAAATATTTCAGGTGAAAGAACATACTGGGTCAAGCTATAACACAGGCAAGAAGAAGGGTGCGGGAGGTGAAAAGCAGAGGAGTAAATTAAAAAGAAAATGTGAAAATGATCACAGCTATGATGCACTCAGCAAGAAAACAAGAGGAAATGAGAGCGCTGACGTTCCAACAGCTGTATCCACTTCTGAATCGGCAATAAATGCTGATGGTCCACACATAATAACTGATAGCATAGGTGATGAAGTCACTGTTGTTATCAATTTCACAAATAGCAATGATCATAGAACAACAGGATCTTCTGTATTTACTCCAGCTGGTAACACGAACAACAAAAATGGGAGACAAAAATAGAAATGCTATGGTCACTCCCACCCTCACACTTTTTCACTGTATCAATATAGATTTGGTAAATCCTTGAGGCAGTACTTGTGAAAAATACTCAAATATATGTAAGGTCAGGGGCAGATCCAGAGATATTTTCTGACAGTCTTTCAAATTATCTTTGTTGATCCATCTTCAATTTTGACCGTCTTCTGACAAAAATGATATATCCGTCAATGTAAACTTGAAAATCTGGCCGTCTTCAGGAGGACCCAGAAGACAGCCTTAATCTGCCCCTGAAGGTTTTAAGCATTGGGTTTACAAAGTCTAGGTAAAACTGTTAAAACTTAACCTTCACTGTCCAACAGTTAAGAATTATAAAGAATAGAAGAAAAGAATCACAGACATTCAGTGAAAAAGAGGCCAAGTCCTTGGTGGTTAACATTTCATGATAGGGATGTTGATTTTGCTTTTCTGTTGTTTTTCATCTTATTGAAATCTGTATCAATATATCTGTAGGACTGGTTATTGATTCAGTGCATTGCATCTGAATAGATTTTCTCTTTTTCATATTTCTTATGTTATATGAAAATTTAATGGGTATTTCCCCCCATTTTATTCAGTGTAGATGTGTATATGAAAATTTAATGGGTATTTTCCCCCATTTTATTCAGTGTAGATGTGTTTATGAAAATTTAATACTTTCCCCCATTTGATTCAGTGTAGATGTTTTCTATTTCTTAATATTATTTTCTGATGTTTATGTAAGTGTAACTAAATTGACATTCAAGAAAACCCAGTTGGATAAGAAAATGCTTTCAATTGCATTTTGAATCAGTAAATGAAGATGACAATTAAAATTAGTGAGGGGAATAGTGTGGCAAATGCAGTAAAATTTAATGGTTTATTTCAGTCCATATTTTCCCCGAATGTCTTAACAGCATGTAGATATCTCCTACAATTTTTATTTTTAGAATCTTTATAACAAACAAAGGTATCTATCTTGGTTTATATTTTATGTAAAAAGTGACTTTATTAAGACTGTAATAAGCATAAGATTGTCACAGGCAGAAAGGTTGTGTTATTTATACAAACCACATTGTCTAATATTAAAAAGGAAATTTTTATCATAGGTATTATTATTTCTGTGTGGTATCATACGATGTTTACTGTTGGGAAAAATCAACTATTTAAAAATAATGCTTTTTTTGTAAGGAGGGTTAAACTTTCTGGTTTGATGTTTAAACTTTACCCAATCATTTGTTTAACAAAGTTGGTCTCAAATTTAAAATTGGAAAAATTCTTTTGTTGTGCACCAAAACAATACAAAAAGCAAAACTGTTGCAAATACTTCTTTAAGTAGGCATCTAGTAATCAGCTTAATAAATTCTTAAAATTTGAACATTCCTATTGGGTGGTAGCAATGCAAATGAAAAGTAAACTACCTAAAGCTAATAGTTCCTTTCTATACAGTGAAAGCACTAAAAAGTAAAATGCTACACAGAAATGGATTTTAATGATTCCAAAATTATGTAACTGAAAAATTGATAATTTTTTCCTGGTCGAAATGATCGAGTCATTACCGTAAGTTTTCTGTGCCGGACAACAATCTTTTGTTAATTCGACAATTAATCAAGCCTCTCTGTTCAAATGTGAGAACATACAAAGTGCCAAAGAAAATAAACTTTTTAAATCTTCATTACTTCATTTGCACAAATGTATGACAGTATTAATGGTGAAGTTGTTATACGGTGATTGGCTAATTGGACATCAACCCAAACCACATAGGCAAAGAAATGATGATGAATATTTTATTTACAACAGTTTCTTACAGCTAATATCATACAAAAATTTGCAGAAATGTAGTTGTTCCCCTCTCTTTTCTATCCTTTTCTTCATTTTATTCTAATATTTGTCTTTTTGTGCATACATGATTTATGCCTAATTTCAATGTTTCTACAAGGTTTTTAATAAATGAAAAAAAAATCAAAAATCGATAAATGAAATTTGCTGTATCTGAGAAAAAAATTAAACCTTGTTTAAATACCTTATTTAAAGCTTAACAATTGAAGCTTTTAAATACCTGTCTTTTGTCAGTAAATGTTTCAAATGATATTAAGATTGATCCAACAAGAGAACAAATGCCTCACACCAAATGAAACCAAGTTTTAAAAACCAAGAAGTGGACCAGGTTTTAAAACCAGTTTTCTCCCAGGTGTCCACTATATTGAACATTTCCTGTGAACTTTATAAGAATGTCAGAACAATAAAACTTTCCCATTGGCCAAACTTTTTTTCAGAATTGCTGTCTGCCATCATTTGTCCTTGTTAAAGAATACTGTGCCATACAGGGTTCTCTTTTGTTTTAAATTTTCCTCAGAATCAGCATCAGTGCTTTCTTTGGTTTCTGTCATCTCATCAGTAAAATCTCCCACGTCAAGTAATATAATTGCTTGACCAAGATCATCTCTTTGAGTAAGTTCGTCTTGATTGTTGACATTGGAAAGCATTACTTTCTCATTGTCATGCATTCCTTCTTCCTCATCTTCTGATCTGTAATTTTCGTATTCTTCCCATTGTTCAAATATCTCCATCTGATCCTCATGGCTTTGATCTACGGCATTTCCTCTGGCTTCATACGTGCTCCTTTCTTCCCACAGTTCACTTGAGGGTTCCACGTCAAAACGGGGATCATCAAGCTCGCCCATCTGTTCTTCCTCTTCCTCTTGGTAATGCATATCACCATCTCTGCCTTCTTCCTCTTCATCAAAGTTGGGATCTGCATTTCCCAAGCTTGTCATTGATTGCAGTGCCATCTTCAGTTTTGGTTGTTGTTCAGACTTCTCTGCGTCTGCTTTAAGTTTGGCTTCTTTCCTCTTCATGATCTTCTCTTTGATGGCATCAGCCTTGGTGAATGACTTTTCCACATCCTCCAGGCTCTGGAAGGGCAGCATGTCGCCCCACCTGCTTCTCTTTACAGTTTTGTAGACTTCCCTTTGAAAATAAAAAAGTTCAAAGTCAGTTTTCCCCTGAACTTACACACTTCTAAATTTTTTTACATCAGGTCAGCTTATCAAAAAGTTTCCAGTGTACACGATATGTTAAAATTATTACCCTAAAGTTATATGATGAACCCAGGGCCCCATGTTAACTATCAGAACCTGGTAGTCCTGTGGGGCTTCCAGCTATCAAGGTGTACCAGCCCATATTGTTAACTCAGTTGCCCAATTTTTATTACAAATAAGCCTGTATATAACAGGGTTTGACATATGTGCATTTTTAGGCATTTGCCCTGGTTGGTAAATAGGTGTGAAAATCTACTTTCCCCACTCCAAAATATTTTATAACTGGGGGTGGGGGACACAAAGTTATCAACTTGTAGGGGAAGGGCTTTGTATTTAATTACATAGCATGTGTGTGTTAACATTAATGGGGAGTGTAGTCCTCTCTCTGAGTGATTTGATTTAAAGGGATAATAACTCTTCGTTTTGGCCAAAAAATTAATTTTCCTGGAGTAAACAACAATTTTCCCCATACTTACCAATGGTTTATGAATCCATTTTTAAATTCAAATTTAGTCCCTTTNCAGTCTGTTTGGTAAATTTTTCTGGCAATTTAACAGTTTTTTGTGAAAATTTAATTTTTCACTTATTTGCATCTTTGTTTTCTGTTTTTTTGTCTGTACATTTGACAGCTTTGCTGCCTTATCACCTTTTCAACCATCTTTAGGCAGGTAATCACAGAACTCTGTTTTACGTGTTTGGAAAATTTGTACACCATTTTATCATTACGCATTTAATAGTGGAATGCTTCCTATCATGAATGTCATCTGTTATATTTTTTATCAGGTGCATAATGTACAATTACCTTTAAAAAAAAAAGCAAAGTTAAATCTAAAATAGCCATTGGCTTGGAGGTTTCTTTCAGAATAAAAATTGAAGTTATTCTGTACTTTTGATTTTAGGCGAACTTCCATTCAAGTGTACACAATGCTCCACCTGCTTCTCTCACGTGGACACTCTACGCCGCCATGTCTACCATGTCCATCTCAAAGAACCACGAGGAACATGCAACCTGTGTAAGAAATCGTTTTTCACCAGCCATGGCTACAAAGTCCACATGCTGTCTCATGATAAAAATGCTGTCAAACAGTTTGTTTGCGATGTGTGTGGTGCTGAATTTTGGACACAGTCATCTTTGAACCTCCATCAGAAAAATCATCAGAAAAATTTTCAGTGTCCGTACGAAAATTGCAGAGTAAAGGTAGCATACAAAAATGACCTGAAGCTTCACATGCGCGTGCACTCAAATGAGCGGCCATATTTGTGCGATCTGTGCGGCTACGCAGGCAAGGGTCAACAAGCACTAACCCGCCATCGCAGGACTCACACAGGTGAGCGAAATTACAGCTGTGATTACTGCCCTTACAAGAGCACAGACTGTACCAAGATGAAGAGACACATGCGCATTCATATTGGCTCCAAGCCCTTCAAGTGCCCCTACTGTGAATATTCCTGCAACACTTTGGAGAATGTGAGGAAACACATTCTCAAGTCTAAAAAACACAAAGATTGTTTTGTGTACCCATGCAGATTTTGCTCCTACGGTAGCAATAGCAGCAAGGAGTTCAAGTCGCACATTCTCAATGTACACAAAGACCAGATCAGTGACTCCGACACTATAGACGTCGTATCAGTGTACTCAGGATTGTACGTGAAAATAGAAGATCTAAAAGCCCCTGCTGAGGGAATGAAAATATTTCAGGTGAAAGAACATACTGGGTCAAGCTATAACACAGGCAAGAAGAAGGGTGCGGGAGGTGAAAAGCAGAGGAGTAAATTAAAAAGAAAATGTGAAAATGATCACAGTTATGATGCGCTCAGCAAGAAAACGAGAGGAAATGAGAGCGCTGACGTTCCAACAGCTGTATCCTCTTCTGCATCCGCAATAAATGGTGATGGTCCACACATAATAACTGATAGCATAGGTGATGAGGTCACTGTTGTTATCAATTTCACAAATAGCAATGATCATAGAACAACAGGATCTTCTGTATTTACTCCAGCTGGTAACATGAACAACAAAAATGGGAGACAAAAATAGTCATACACACTCCCACCCTCACACTTTTTCACTGTATCAATATAGATTTGGTAAATATTTGAGGCAGTACTTGTGAAAAATACTCAAATATATGATTGTAAGGTCAGGGGCAGATCCAGAGATATTTTTTGACAGTCTTTCAAATTATCTTGGTTGATCCATCTTCAGTTTTGACCGTCTTCTGACAAAAATGATATACCCGTCAATGTAAACTTGAAAAACTGGCCGTCTTCAGGAGGACCCAGAAGACAGCCTCAATCTGCCCCTGAAGGTTTTAAGCATTGGGTTTACAAAGTCTAGGTAAAACTGTTAAAACTCAACCTTCACTGTCCAACAGTTCAGAATTATAAAGAATAGAAGAAAAGAAGCACAGACATTCAGTGAAAAAGAGGCCAAGTCCTTGGTGGTTAACATTTCATGATATGGATGTTGATTTTGCTTTTCTGTTGTTTTTCATCTTCTTGATATCTGTATCAATATATCTGTAGTATTGGTTATTGATTCAGTGTATTGCATCTAAATAGATTTTCTCTTTTTCATATTTCTTATGTTATATGAAAATTTAATGGGTATTTTCCCTCATTTTATTCAGTGTAGATGTGTATATGAAAATTAAATGGGTATTTTCCCCCATTTTATTCAGTGTAGATGTGTATGTGAAAATTTAATGGGTATTTCCCCCCCATTTTATTCAGTGCAGATGTTTTCTATTTCTTAATATTATTTTCTGTTGTTTATGTAAGTGTAACTAAATTGACGTTCAAGAAAACACAGTTGGATAAGAAAATGCTTTCAAATGCATCCATCTTGGTTTATATTTTATGTAAAAAGTGACTTTATTAAGACTGTAATAAGCATAAGATTGTCACAGGCAGAAAGGTTGTTTTATTTATACAAACCAAATTAAGTCTAATATTTAAAAGGAAATTTTTATCATAGGTATTGTTATTATTTCTGCACATGTGGTATCATATGATGCTTACTGTTGGGAAAGATCAACCTTTTAAAAATAATGCTTTTTTTGTAAGGAGGGTTAAACTTTCTGGTTTGATGTTTAAACTTTACCCAATCATTTGTTTAACAAAGTTGGTCTCAAATTTAAAATTGGAAAAATTCTTTTGTTGTGCTCTAAAACAATACAACTGTTGGTCCCTGGTAAAAAAAGTGCAAATACTTCTTTAAGTAGACATCTAATAATCAGCTTAATAAATTCTTAAAATTTGAACATTCCTATTGGGTGGTAGCAATGCAAATGAAAAGTAAACTACCTATAGCTAATAGTTCTTTTCTATACAGTGAAAGCACTTAAAAGTAAAATGCTACATGGAAATGGATTTTAATGATTCCAAAATTATGTACCTGAAAAATTGATAATTTTTCCTGGTTGAAATGATCGAGTCACTACCGTAAGTTTTCTGTGCAAAACAATCTTTTGTTAATTCAAGAATGAATCAAGCCTCTCTGTTCAAATATGAAAACATACGTAGTGCCAAAGAAAATAAACTTTCTAAATCTTCATAACTTCATTTGCACAAATGTGTGACTGTATTAATGGTGAAGTTGTTATATGGTGATTGGCTAATTGGACATTAACCCAAACCACATAGGCAAATACACGATGATGAATATTTAATTTACATCAGTTTCTTACAGCTAATATCATACAAAAGTTTGCAGAAATGTAGTTGTTTCCTCTCTCTACTCTATCATTTTCTTCATTTTATTCTAATATTTGTCTTTTTGTACATATATGATTTATGCGTAATTTCTATGTTACTACAAAGTTTTTAATAAATGTAAAAAAAAAAAATCAATAAACAAAATTTGCTGTATCAGAGAAAAAAATTAAACCTTAATATCTTATTTAAATCTTAACAATTGAAGCTTTTAAATACCTGTCTTTTGTCAGTAAATGTTTCAAATGAGATTAAGATTGAACCAACAAGAGAACAAATGCCTCACACCAAATGAAACCAAGTTAAACCAAGAAGTGGACCAGGTTTTAAAACCAGTTTTCTCCCAGGTGTCCACTACATTGAAAATTTCCTGTGAACTTTATAAGAATGTCAGAACAATAAAACTTTCCCATTGGCCAAACTTTTTTTCAGAATTGCTGTCTGCCATCATTTGTCCTTGTTAAAGAATACTGTGCCATACAGGGTTCTCTTTTGTTTTAAATTTTCCTCAGAATCGGCATCAGTGCTTTCTTTGGTTTCTGTCATCTCATCAGTAAAATCTCCCACGTCAAGTAATGTAATTGCTTGACCAAGATCATCTCTTTGAGTAAATTCGTCTTGATTGTTGACATTGGAAAGCATTACTTTCTCATTGTCATGCATTCCTTCTTCCTCATCTTCTGATCTGTAATTTTCGTATTCTTCCCATTGTTCAAATATCTCCATCTGATCCTCATGGCTTTGAACTATAGCATTTCCTCTGGCTTCATACGTGCTCCTTTCTTCCCACAGTTCACTTGAGGGTTCCACGTCAAAACGGGGATCATCAAGCTCGCCCATCTGTTCTTCCTCTTCCTCTTGGTAATGCATATCACCATCTCTGCCTTCTTCCTCCTCATCAAAGTTGGTATCTGCATTTCCCAAGCTTGTCATTGATTGCAGTGCCATCTCCAGTTTTGGTTGTTGTTCAGACTTCTCTGCGTCTGCTTTAAGTTTGGCTTCTTTCCTCTTCCTGATCTTCTCTTTGATGGCATCGGCCTTGGTGAATGACTTTTCCACATCCTCCAGGCCCTGGAAGGGCAGCATGTCGCCCCACCTGCTTCTCTTTACAGTTTTGTAGACTTCCCTTTGAAAATAAAAAAGTTCAAAGTCAGTTTTCCCCTGAACTTACACACTTCTAAATTTTTTTACATCAGGTCAGCTTATCAAAAAGTTTCCAGTGTACACGATATGTTAAAATTATTACCCTAAAGTTATATGATGAACCCAGGGCCCCATGTTAACTATCAGAACCTGGTAGTCCTGTAGGGGTTCCAGCTATCAAGGTGTACCAGCCCGTATTGTTAACTCAGTTGCCCAATTTTTATTACAAATAAGCCTGTATATAACAGGGTTTGACATATGTGCATTTTTAGGCATTTGCCCTGGTTGGTAAATAGGTGTGAAAATCTACTTTCCCCACTCCAAAATATTTTATAACTGGGGGTGGGGGACACAAAGTTATCAACTTGTAGGGGAAGGGCTTTGTATTTAATTACATAGCATGTGTGTGTTAACATTAATGGGGAGTGTAGTCCTCTCTCTGAGTGATTTGATTTAAAGGGATAATAACTCTTCGTTTTGGCCAAAAAATTAATTTTCCTGGAGTAAACAACAATTTTCCCCATACTTACCAATGGTTTATGAATCCATTTTTATATTCAAATTTAGTCCCTGTTTTTTTTCTAAAAAGTTTGGTTTTTTGTTAAAATCTCTTAAGAGATTATAACAGAGTACAGCCATCAATGGAGGTCACGTGATCTGAAGACAAGCTCAGATATCAGAATAATAGCTATAACTGCCGTTTTTGTGGTAAAACAGAATATATTATGTTTCTACGAGTTATTCACAATGTTTTTATTGTGAAATATAGATATCATACGAAGAGTTATTATCTCTTTAAGTATTAAATGCCAAAGAAAATGGGAAAATATTGATCGCATATTACAACTTAATTGACAAGCAACAAGCTGATGATATACCTCTTAGAATTTCAATTGTAAGGTTAACAACATGAATTGTCAATCTCTACTTTCTACCCGTTTATGCAATACTGTAACTGTACAACCTTTTTTTACCGAGAAAAAGAGAGTCCAAGTATGTAAATGTGTATGTGTGTGTGTGTGTGATTCATAAGTCAAAAACTGTAAGATTGTATATTTATTTGCTACTGAAAAAAAAAAATTAAATGCCATGTGTCTGTGAAACTTCCAATTATCTATACCTGCACATGTAATATAGGGCTATGCATTGTCACTCACCAAACCCAAATTTAACTTAGAAGAATACAAAATACTTTGTCAAATATGAAGTTAATTTTACTGCCGATCTTTGTACACAAAGAAACAGAAAATGAGCAACATGATAATGACCTAATCTTAACGTGACAGTGTTTGCTTTCCCCATACTTGTAATTTGCAATTATGAAGATGGATTATCTACGCTAATGCATGTCGGGCCCTGGATGTACCCAATGTTGTCTTTAAACAGCTCTCCCTTTCCTAGGCTGGCTTTCAAAAAGTACTTATAACATATTGACTAACTTATTGCTGTGAAGTAACAGTTATTTTTAAAAAAAAAAGCCTTCGGACAGTTAATGTTAACTTCTACAGAGAAGGAAGAACCTGGTATTTACGATATGACTGATTGATATTCGTAAGGTCAATATTATTTTTATAATATATCAAGCAGTATTGGTAATGGCACTTACCTTCCATGTGTTCTTGCAGTGAAAACCACATTTCTGCTCTTGCCATCAGCACAGCACAGGTGACACTTGATGTGTTTCGTGCCTATCTGTGGGATGTAAACCACCCTTGGCCATGGGGCGGCATCTTCAGGTTTCTTTTCTTTCTTGAATATGAGGTAAGTGAATCTGTCCCTCAGCATGTCATCCTCGCTTTTCTGAAAAATTTGGAAAAAAAAATTGCATGAGCTGTTTTCAGTATTTAAACATGGACTGTGTTAGTAACATTGCCAATAGCGAAAGTTATATCAGCAGTGAATTTAAAATGTGAAAAAGCCAAGTAAAATGTAATTGTTTTTTAGATGAAGTTTGAAATGAAAATCATAAATGCAGAAAGTACAGGACTCCTTGAACAATTTTTTTTTTTTGCGTGTACGAAGAACAACAGTTTCTTTGAAGCAGCAGATGAATTTTAATGACAACTGAAAAACAGCACACTTTAAAAGGACATATGTTGACCCACCATATACAACATCATTGGCTTGAAAGGTGTCTCAAAAACGCACTTTGTTGTTTCTCGAAAAGTTCTTGGGCAGACTTGTGTATGAGGACACTGAAGATAAGTATACATATCACTAACTAAAGATGGTAAAGATAAACCCTGAAGCCAAACAAATTCAAATTAATAGTAAAATTGGCCACTGGTTCATTTTTGACCACTGCAAGCCTGGGATGTGGAAACCTTTTGATAAACAAATGACAATATTTTCTTCTAGTTATAACTGTGACTTCGGCCAACACATTTAAAATCAATATCATCAAATGTAAAATCGATAGTTACATAATATAATCCATGTTTTAAACTGAAATAATGTTATTTGACATGCTTTAGAAACTATAATATAACCGAAATTCAAAAGTTTCATTACACAGATTTCACGGTACTCACAGGAGCAAAGAGATGACCAGCATATAGCTCAGTAATACTATCGTCTTCTTCTACCTGTTCTGCTGTGTTTATCAACTAAGAAAAAATTACATTAAGTTAAAATAATACAATCAAAATAGATAACATTATCTGTATCATAATTTGAAAAATCACGTTAGTATTACATCACATAACATACTTTTTTGTGGTTAATATATCAGACAACAACGTTTTTTACTTGTTCGTTACAGTTCACAGGACTTCAACTCCACTTTTTACACTGCTACATGAAGGAACTTGTTTCTAAGAGAGTAAGTGGTAATTACTTCTTTAAAAAAAACTCCAACTTGAGGAATATTTAAAAATGCAATATTATTTTGCAAATTTAACTAAAACCTGAAATCCTCTCTCCCTCTCCTAATCCCTCCTCTCTCTCTCTCTCTCTCTCTCTTGCTCTCTCACTCACTCACTCACTTTAAGGATGTGCTCCCTAACCTCCATCATAACAGTGTGAGCAGTCTTCGAGGCCAACTCCATGAGGACCTACAAAATTTACATAAGTCACTTAGATATGAGCCTAGGTTTAAAAAAATTAAAAACCTCTGAACATTTATCATTTAATTGCAGATCTTGACGAATCTCCAGAACCATCAGAATTGAATTATAAAATGCTAAATTCCATGTTTCTGCAGAAAAAGCTCATGTCTGGTCACTACAAAAAATTTGATCCAACTGCTTTTGATCTAAATACTCGAATGGCAAAATACATGTTCAGAGAATGTTACACTTTTAAAAAACTTTCCTGGTTCTTCTAAACATTTATGGTCCTTACCATATATCCTCCAGGTTTCGTCCTTTTCCACATCTGTTCACAGATTTCCAGTCTCTCACTTTTAGAGGATAACTCAAATAGAGAAAAGGCGCTCACTACCAGGTCATTTTGATACTAAAATGAAAAATTAAAAAATCTATAAAAAACAATTTACAACAAATAAATAAAAAAAAAAATAAATAAAATAAAATTACTGAATTTTGAAGCCCCAAAATATTATGTAAAATGAAAAATTTGATTTTCCTTTAATCCCTGCTTTCACGAATTGTTTTCATTTATTTTTAAGTTGAATTCATTTTTTAATTCTAAATTTAATTACATTGAATCCAATTTGAACCTGGACAAAATATGTCTTAAAAAGTTGATTTCGATACTTGTTTCATCTCCTTGATACTAAACAACTTTCCAACAAACCAAAAGTCCGCAAAAGTGGAACTACATGTTTTCATTAGATTACTAGAAACCATCCATTCATTTCAAAATTCAGGAATCAATGTATCTTCACTCTTGGGCTACGGTCAAAACTGGCAGTCAACAGCAATACTTTTTCATTAATAAAATAATCGCGGTACTGTACCCGTAGTGTTTCTGGCATGTTGTATCTGAAGTACACATTCTTGAAGTGTGGTTTGCCATCTGGGTCGCCACCTACAGTGTTGAAAAATAAATTTTGCAAAATATGACTGGTATGGAAGAAGTTTTATATTACTCACGCTCACATGCAAACTTATGCATAAAACACCAGTCATTCTTAAGAAAAACTATGTTTTATCACATGAATGAGATCTATAAAATCTACATAATTCAATTTAAGACAAAGGTGTCATTCCACAGCAAGCTTAAGGCCAGGTTGAACCAGAGCAGTATATTTATGTCATACCAGTTGGTTAACCTTACCATGAAGCAGTAGCTTAGCTAGATCGTGCATTTCTACAGAGTTGTCCACAAGAAAATGCTCCCAGATCGAATTCTTAAACACGGTATTTGCAGCCCTGAAAAATAATGTTTTTAAAATAGCCGATTAGGTGGTTACATGGTTGTTGTGCACAAATCTTCACAGAAGGGCAATGTGGATAGCTAGTACCCTCTACCAGGGCGACTGATAGATTTTTACGGATATTCACAGATATGTCTCTAGCTAGATTGTCATTTTAACTCTAAGTCATGACTTAGAGTTAAAATGACTCTAGCTAGATAGATTGTCATTTTAACTCTAAAAATTTTTATTTTTATGACTCTAGCTAGATAGATTGTCATTTTAACTCTAAGTCATGACTTAGAGTTAAAATGACAATCTATCTAGCTAGAGACATATCTGTGAATATCCGTAAAAATCTATCAGTTGCCCTGGTAGAGGGTAGATAGCTAGTGAGTAGCCACTTGTGGAAATTTTTGAGAATATCTAGTGAATGCATTTCTCTCTGTGGTTCTTGATAGAGGGTAGAAGATCATTGCATCTGCATTGCATCTTAAGGAGGCTCTCTCATATTAGGTCCAGTACTTTTTTTATGACAGCGGCTAATTATCAAAATATAATATGCAATAAAATACGTAATTCATCCTTTAATAAAAGCTTTGTTGTTATTTTGATCGAAAAAAGTAACAAATATGTCAACAAAACGTTGTGTTCAGCAATGAATGCTTGGAATTTTATGATGCATCGTACGCACTCACGAATTTGTTCACAAACTGTCATGATATTCAGGGCACTACCTCTCAAAAACGAGCTGGATTACGCCCATTTTTATTCATATCTTTTTATCTTTCATATCTAGATTGTCTTACAACGCTTTATCAAAATTGCTAAGGCAGAAATTGTGTTTCTGAAATAGGAGAAAGACTCTGTAATTCCAGTACTAGCTTTATCTTTTTCTCTTCCCGTTTCTAGTAAGGTGAGTGTTTCTGTGTCATTGGACAACTCACCACATTACGGATCCTGTTCCTGACCCAAAGTCAAACAGTGTCCCTGGTTTAAACTCTGGATCCCTTGCCTTGATCTGAAATAAGACAACACAGTGACCATTAATGATAATTTCATTCCGTGGACATTGCTTGAGACACACCCCAATAACCATCTTAGTTTTTTTCTGATTTTAAAATGATAAAAAGAAGTTAAAAGTGAAAATTTTAATCGTCATAAATTTTAAAATAATAAATAGGCCATAGGTGTCACCCATCAATAACAAGTTGGAGACATAAGTATGTAGTTATCTTTTATCATTTTTATTAATAGTAAATAAATCCCTTGTGAAGCAATGGGAAAAAACTTTCATTTACTTGTGTGATACAAGCCACATAATCAGAGCACTGGTCCAGGTCAAGAACAATGTTGGATAGATATATGTCATATTCATTACATAATGGATTGCGATTTACTCACAAATTATGGAAGAAGTTTGGTACCTGACTATTTTATAAACAGACCTAACACTTATAAGTTTTACAATCTTTTTGCTTCAAAGAATATCAATATATTGAAAAACCTGTATATTCATAAAAATAATCAATGAGAGCCTCAGTTTACCCCCCGGGTTAAATAATACTGTTATATGTTCTCACTGTGAAGACAAGAGAAATAAATGAAATGAAATGAAAATAGATTCAAAATTTCAATACAGAATATTTTATGAGATAAAGATAGATTAAATCTGTACATACTTCATGGAAAACCCTGACCAAGTCTGCATACTCCCTGTCCAGCCTTGCTACCATATATACCATACTTTGGTGTTGGTTATATCTGGAAACAACAACAAAATAGAGCATCTTGACAATTAAATTGTGTTATATATATACATAATATAGAATCAGAGATGAAAGTGGACTTTTTTTTTTGAAAAAGCTGAAAAATGCAAGCACCATGGTGAGGTCACAAAAACTAGTACCCAAAGATACACTCCATGGGTTTGAAAATCCCCAAATCTTCGAATTTTTTCATCCACAGCTTCTTATAAAACCTTACATACACCTTAGAAATGATTTATCACCTTAAATACTTTTTGGAGTGTACCTGATGTTGATATTTCTATTGGAACTTATAGGAAAATGATCCCTGTCAAAATAACCTGCCAGTCATTTTATGCTTAAGTCAACCTGCCCTTTTTAAGTTTTATCAAAGGTCAAATCCAAGTGCAGAGAGGGACAGATAAATGATTAGGAGTCCGAGAAAATTGCTTATTTTTTCAGGAAAATCCATTTTGGCATATTAATCTCATGGTGTACATGTGTACCTTTCACAAATTACTTACTTCATTGGCCTCCAATTGTTCCCTCTTAAGTGAATCTTTGCTTGGACTTCTTTGAAAATTCCCTCTTTCACACTTTTCAGTTTGCCAGGCTTTAGCTCAGAAAAAACAATATTACCTAGAAAAGAAAATAAGATGTCAAAGCTCATGAGAACAGAGAAGAAGCACGGTCTACCTCTTTAAAAACTTCCTCTAAATAAGGGTATCCATGAAACATCCCATACACAAATCCAGCAGCCCTCTTCATCAGTCTCATAGAGAAAGGTGGGAATCTCCCCAAATTAATTTCTATCCCTGATAGACAGCTATAAGACTCTCCTTTGGACCATATTCACATAAAGGCCTACGTTAATTGTATACGTTTGTGTTTGAATACACACTGAACATTTCTACTACTACCAGGTACTTGAATAGATAGACAAAGATATGTTCAATCAGTCTTACTAAGTATCAAATTCTACTTCATACAGTTCTATCAAAATCATTTCGTTCTGCACAACATTATTACACAGCAGGCCCGTAGCCAGGGGGGGTTCGGGGGGTTCGAAAGAACCGCTCTTTTTGCTGGGAAAAGGTCCACTTTGGGTAAAATTTGATCTAGGTACATGAAGTTTTTATAGAAAAAGGTCCACTTTTCTAGAAAAAGAAACCCCCTTTTGAAATTGCTGGCTACGGGCCTGCACAGTCATGAATTAAAAATGCCCAAATGCAAAACAAGTAAAGACAACCTACGTTCACTGATAATCTTGTTTTCCATTTCCTCGGCTTTGGCAAGCAGTTCATTCTCTTCCAATGGCTTCATCCTGCCAAATAAGGATCTCTGAAGCTTGGCAGCCTCCAGTTCGAGAATTTTCCTTGAGACATCTAAAAAAGGATAAGAAAAGAATTGGTTTGTATACTATATATACGTATGTAACAATCTTGGCAGAATGCAGGCCTATCTAAGATAAGCTTATATTTGCAGCTTTAGCCAATTACTAATATCTTCACAAAATTAATAACAAAACTGCTTTAAAATTATAATCCATATCTAGTATCCTCTTAAAATTATCTAAACATTGTCTTAAAATAACTGTTCCAGGTAGGCTTAGAGTGTTTTCTAAGTCTCTCTATTTAATTTATTTACTAAACTTATATTGATTGAGGGTAAAAACACGATTAATATTAAATTTATCTTTCCAATGGTCCTCCATAATATGGTCAGAATTGTATTTTTTTTTTGTTTCACCTGTACTTTGATTTGTTTTAACAGACTCTGGAATACTGTCAGCCAGGATTGAAAATTATTTGACAGTATACATCCCTGGGGTAGTGCTAGCAATTTTTTTCACTTAGCCAAATCATCACTTTTTTGTCAATTTGTTATGAAAATGGTTTTAACTTGACTAAAATTTGTCAAATCAAGTCCTTTTTGTTTAGCCAATTTAAGTCAGTTTTAGCATTTGGCTAAATTGGCGAGTGCTAGCGCTACCCCAGCATCCATAGTAGGCCTTACCATACTTATCCATGACCGCTTCAACTGCATCCTGCAACTCAAAGGGCAACTCCGCTCTTGACACTGTCACTTTACCAGGATGCTTCTTGTACTTGTATTTCAGTTGCTGCACATTGATCTCATCCATCATTGCTGAGTCGAGTTCTACATTCACCCTGGCAAAGTTTTCTTGGGATGATGGTGAATCTATATCTCTGAGAGGCTCGTTTTTCTTTTTCTTCCGTTTGTTCTCCTTTGCCTGTTTCCCAGGACCATTATCTTCCCATGATTCAGTTTTATCTGTGTAATATTTCTGGTTTACATATGCTGACAGCTTTATCTGATGGAAAAGACATGAAAATTACAGTATTAACATTTTACATACATGAAAGCTTGATTAAAAAAAACTTTTGAACACGCCTTACAGTAAATAAACATGCCAATCAAACAATGCATGCAAATACACCTATTGCCTCAGTTATCGACCTTGCATGCAAAATTGTGGTAAATACTAGAAATAGTGAAACAGTACTTAGTAGTACTGCAAAAAGGCTTAACTTAAGTTCGGTCAGTATAATAAGGCGATATTTTGACTGCCTTACCACTAACTTCGAAAACAAACACTACAAAAACTGCATTAAAATTGAGCACCAGTCCCTCCTACCTGTCTGCGATGCAACAGTGGACTAATATGACGGACTGGTAAAACATTTTTCAAGAAAAACAAATTACGCGTGGTCCGCAAGGCAGCAGACATGTTTTTGAAATAGGCAATGATTGAACACCGATAGTACGCCATGTGTTTGTTTACGGCGGGCTATCACGCCACCTGCATCACACCATTTACAAAGCATGGACGCTGTCACCTGTACCGCACCGGTTAATATTGCAGTAATAAAGTATTGTAAGTATAGATGCTGTATCTAGTGTTTTAAGATTTTAACATTAGGTAAAATTACCATGTTAACCGCATAGAATTTGAGTAATTAACGTTGTCAGCATGAAGTTGATCATTGAATTGAAGCTTTCTTCAGAGAAATTTGCACTGGACCCCCCCCCCCCCTTCACACACACGCGCACGCACGCACGTAATCTCACACACAGAGACACACACCAGACATGCATTCACTTCAGCAACCAGGGCTTGGTTCACTGAATAATGATAATGTTTAAAACACAGGGCGTTACCTTGAAAGTGATGAAGTACTGGATACAAATACATGTATAGTACCCCCCCCCCCACCCCCCCCCCCCCACCCACCCCCACCCCCCCACCCCCCCACA